GAGAGGAAAATATTTGTTGAGGGAAAGAATATTCTATTTGAGTGAGGGATAGAAGGGGACTCAATTGGATTGCCCCATAATACATAAAATTTGGAGGTGAACTATATGTCCATCAACAATTGGATTCATAAAGAAAATGTGACATTTACACACAATGGAGTACTCTTTTACCATAAAGAAGGGTAAATTTGAGTGACTTGTAGGACAAATATGCACTTTGAGACCATAGTGTTACATGAAATAAAACAGACATACAAGTTTAAATATAACATGGTTTCTCTTATATGAGAAGCCATAAGTATAAATAAATAAGACAAAAATAAGATATATAATTAGAAACAAGGAAATAAATGTTTTGCAAAAGGAGAGTGACCAAAAGATATATGAGAGAGGGAAGGAGGGAGGGAGGGAGGGGAGAGAAGAGACAAGACAGTAAAAAGAATTAAGATGTGTTCTGTATATGTACCAACTCCTCAAGAAGAATTCAATCATTATGTGGAAGAATAGCCACTAATGAAAGTAAGATTTTAAAAATCATTTGCAGGGACCGGGGAGCTGGCTCAGTAGAATAAGTGCTTCCCTGGCAAGTGCAAGGACCTAAGTTCAATCCCCGGTTCTGCCAAAAAAAATCATTTGCAAAAAATAAATGAAATAATAATCATTGACATATGAACAAATATTTATTTCTGGACTTTTGTATTTATTTACTTATTTATTTTTCTGTTTGAGAAATTCTTTTTTTATTAATTCTTTTGAGAAAAAAACAGCAATGAGACAGCTTCAAAATAGGTTAGTAGGACAGTTTCAACAATCAATACATTACGTATTGTTGTCTTCCTAGTGGTTATCCATAGTACAAGATGCAGACATGATATCCTGTCCAGACACTAGTGGTAAAAATCTTTCTTCTCATTGAATCAAGAGAAAGCAGCTGCATAGCCATCCTCACTATCTTGTATATACAGATACAAAATGTCCTTCATTTGTATCCTCTTTTTTTTGTTTAGCCTTGCCAGACATGGGTATTCCATTGCCATTTAAATATTGTAGATATTTTCATATAGTGGAATATTATTCAGCTATAAAGAATGATAAAGTATATTGGACCTTCGTAATTAAAAAGTTGGCCCTTAGTTTTCAACTTAGTAATTCTTCCATTTTGGTTTTCTTTTTTATTTCTTGGCCCAAACTGTAATACTTCTTTAAAAAAATTAGTGCATTTTTATAGTACATAGTGATCCCATTTATTATGGATTGTTGGTACATTTTCTGTTGACTACCTTTTATTTTCAGTACTTCCGGGGAGTGAACCCAGGTCACAATGTGCTATATCCCCAGATCTTGAAGTACAGATTCACAAAATTGCTAACTTACTCAGGCTATGATCCAAATTGTCATCCTCCTTCCTCAGCCTCTCATTGTGTTGGGACATAATGCCTGTCCCTGTTGACTACCTTAACATCATGCTCTTGATTTTTGTCAAAATTCAATACACAAAATCACAAAGAGTTATGCTTCTCTGAGTGTTTTTGTAGTTGTCATTCTTCCAAACTGTTCAAAAGATCTACAAGTCTGTTTTATTGCCAGTACCATGCTGTTTTTGACACATTTGTAGTATCATTTCAAGTCAGGTATTTTAATGTTTCCTTCCTTGTCTTTGTTGGCCAGGATTTCCTTTACTATTCTAGGTCTCTTCTGATCCAAATGTAAGTTAGGATTTTTTTCTCTAATTCTGTGAGATATACTACTTGTATTTTGATTGGGGTTGCATTAAATCTATATGACAATATTGAAAATATGGCTATTTTTACTACACATTTTCCTATCCAAGAAAAAGGTATATTATTCCATTTTCTGATATTCTCTTTGATATTCTACTGAGCTATCTCCTCTGCCCCCTGTAAATTTATTTGTGAGTTAAATATGTTTCCTATACAGAGCATATTGTTTGATTTTATTTATTGATCTATTCTACCAACCTGTTTCTTTTGATTGAGACCATTTACATGGGTGCTTGTTAAGACTTCTGTGTGGATACCCCCCAAAGCTTCATGCAGCCATTGGTGAAGCTTATCAAAGGTGGCTGCATCTAGATTGTGCGAATCTAAGATTGTTTCATGATGCCATGCTACAATCAAGGGCAATAGGATCATGAGTGTGAGTGCTACCTGCCCTGAGAGTATAAGATAAAAGGTCAAAAAGAGTTGTGGCTCCCTTATTACTTTGCCAATTTCTATCTACCACACAGTTTCTCCTATGTGATTCCTGTCTGTCATGCTGCCCTGCTTTGCAGGCATCTGACTATGCAATGAAGCGTCTACAAACTGAGATAAATAAAACCTTCTGTCTTTACCTTTTGGTGTTTCACATTTTGTCTCAGCAAAAATAAATGTAACTAAGAATCTTCAGAACTGATATGTATTGACATATCTTTGTCATGTTATTTTCCTGTTGTTGATTCTCTTTCTTTTTCCTTTATTTAAATTCTTACCTTATCTGGTGGATTTACTCTGTTGCATTTGAAGGAGTTGTAGCCTTCCTTATCTCTTTCTGAAATACCCTTCAGAACATTTTAGAGTGCTGGTTTGGTGGTAATGAATTTCTTCAAGTGATCACTGTCATGAAAGTGTCTTATTTTCCCTTCAATTTTGAAAGAATGTTTTTACAGAATACATTAATCTGGGTTGCAAGTTATTTTCTTTTAGGGTTTGAAATACTTTAGGCTCTCCTTGACTTAAGGGTTTGTGTTGAGAATTCTGCTGTGATTCTGTTGGGTTTTCCTTTATAGGTGATTTTGCAGTCACGGTTTACAAGGGAAAAGATTTAATACAGAGCACATAACTTATTGAATTATTTTATAATATTCACCCAAAGACTCAAATGCAAAAGTGTATAGGAGATACATCCACACACTAAATACCCAAGGAATCCACCTAATGCCTCAGTCTCATAATTCCCATAGCAATTCCTGTACAAGTCCAGCTGAAGACCTAGAGCCCTGGGCAATATGCTACATAAGTCTATCCGGAAGCCTAAATCCCATGACAATATCTCTTGCAAGTCTGAATACAGGATCTGCACTGGGAAGACCCAAAAGTCAGTAGGAGAAACTAGACTTCCAGGATGAAGAAAGATCTCTGCCAGCAGGCTGAGGGATCTACACTGCAGCCAGAAATCAATGGTCATGTTAAGACGGGAGCTCCCTTGAAAAGAACTGAGACAATCCTCAGTGACAGTGAGGACCCAAGCTTCTCCATTGATGGGAACATCTGGGTGCATAGCATGATAAGCTTCTCTTAGAGAATCAACAGCCCACATCTTCCCTTCCAGTTCAATGCTCTGGTGGGTGTGAACACCCTCAACCACACAGACTTAGTTCAACTGGGTATTATAAGTTGCTCATTAGTTAAACCAGTACAAGTGATTTGTTTGTTTTCTCTAACAGCTTTTAATATTCTGCTCTTGTTTTGATTTTTTTAATCTGGACTATTGTATGCCTTGGTGTAGACTTTTTTTATTATGCCTAATTGAAGCTGTACGCCTCACTTACCTGTATGTCAAATTCTTTTTCCCTGCTTTGGTAGTTTTTCTGCTATCACTTCTGTGAACGATATTTTTATGTCATTTTCACCGTCTCTGGCTTCTTCAATGACTGCAATCAATCATTTTTTAATTCTTTGTTGCATCAGCTAGCTGCTGTTAGATTTTTTTTTAATTTCCTTGGTTTTTGGTGTTGTTGGGGTTTTTTGTTGTGTTTATTGTTTGTATTTTAGTACAGGGTCTATAGAGTCTCACTACATAGATCAGACTCATAGAGATCCTCATCTTTTTAGCCTCCCAAGAGCTGTGATTACAAGCAAGTGCCAACATACCTGGTCTCAGTCAACGTCTCAGCAACCCCCAGGGGCAGGGCCAACACAGCACACTTCAATCAAGCCCCAGTCACTATGCCTATCAAAAAAGGCACTTTTTTAGTCTACTGAGCTATTTGACCAGCCCTCTCTCACATTATTTTTAAGAAATCTGTCATTTCATGATCACTAATCACAAGGCTGTCTACAAGATCTGATAATCTGTCCTTGAATTGGCTCATTCTGCTGAATATACTTTTAATAGAATTTTTAATCTCCTGGGTATCTGTTTGGAATTATTACATGGGTAGCAGGTTTTCATATGTTGGTTATTCATAAATTCCACTATCTCCTAAACTTCTTTATGTTTTATCTGTGTGTACTCTATGATCACTAACC